ACTTCTATTAGCTATTATGATTTGAGTTTGCTTGTGGGACTGCCACCCGCTGCGCTGCGACATGTGATCTAAATTGTTTTAGTCAGTGTAATTTGTTGCAGTCTAATAGAACACAGTCCTACATTCATAACCCACACTGTGATACAGTCTCCTGTTCAGCTCTGGCTTTTTAACCCTTAGTCTCACTTTACAGTGTATTTACATACACTTCATAATCTGATAACTGCAGAAAATCAGATTGTGTCAGTAACCGGTTCAGTGTGTTTACACTTAATAATCTGATAACTGCAGAAAATCAGATTGTGTCAGTAACCGGTTCAGTGTGTTCACACTTAATAATCTGATAACTGCAGAAAATCAGATTGTTTTTTTAGAGTTTTTTTAAACATCAAGTCGCTTTAATGGAAAATATGCTTCAAATCCCACGACATAAAAGAAGAGCGAACTAGCACACAGCTAGTAACGTTAGCTAGATTGTGGTTTAGCAAAACTGTTGCTACAACTGCTGCTATGAAGCTAACCAGATGCTATCACAAACATTAGCGAACAGGACAAAAACAGTACTGACCTCTTGGTCCTGTGAAATAAGTTTATGTTGCCCACCTGTCAGGCAGAAACAGAGCAACCTCCTCATACCTTTTCATGTCTTTCAACCCTCAGTGAAGCTGAAGTCAACTTCTTTTTCACCAGCTTCTTGTTAGAATTTTCCCGTTCCACCTTAAATGGTGCTGCAGTTACATTGTGGAGCCCCAGACTAGAATAAGGCTGCTGCACAGTATTATTGGTTGTGCTTCGGACCCCCGCAAGCAGATGAATCTGACTTTTGTGGGTGAGTTCAAAGAGAATTCAAAGAGAACTCAGTTTGAACTTGGTGAAGGACATGTCTTCTGAGGATGTGAGTGGATCATCTACAATTGTCATCATATCTTCATCAGTATAATGTTGATTTTGAGATCATTTGAGGCCTAATCATCGAGCCAGACCTTCTTTTTGAGTCTGTGTGTGATGTTAATATATAAAGCCATACGACGTGGTGTGAAAAACTCTTAACAGGGCGACTCAAAGCAGTGCACGCTCACCATATTTTAGTGTGTTCTTTAGTCTTCCCACTTAGTAATGACACTTCTTTCAGTTTTAACTAAAAATATTACATAGTGCTGCTTTAAAAGGGTATTGAACATTATTGTTACTGTTATTATTGATTATTGACATGATCTGAAGGTTCATTAAACTTGAAAATACTTCAAATTTTGACCTTTAAAATGTTTCTTCACTTGCACATCCCATTAAAATGTTTCTTCACTTGCACATCCCATCCATTGAAAAGTTAAAGGAGATAAAATTGGTTCTTTATGGTTCCATTTGGCACTTTTTTTTTTTTGGAAAGTTTGTCGACTGAATGTAAATCTAAATTATTCTAAAAATAACAATAACAACTGTAGAGTATTATCACATCTTTACAAAAGCCAAACTACAATCTTAAAAAGATGGTTCTTCAGGGGTTCTTTAGTAAAGGCAGTGGTTCTGTTTGAAACCATGAGCTCTGTAAAGAATCATTTCATGCTTAAAATGTTCTTTGTACTGTGACACAGTTCTTCACATTGATGGAAAATGTGTGTACATGGTTGTATATAGCACCTTTTTGAAAATGGTTCTATATAGCACCAAAAAGGGTTCTTCTGTTATTATTCTGCTTCAAGGGTTCTTTAGTAAAGAAAATGGTTCTATGTAGAACCACGGACACTCAAAGAACCCTTTAAAAAATTAAAAGATTCTTTGCATCGTGAAAGGGTTCTTCAGACTGATGGAGAATGTACTGTAGATGGTTCTATATAGAACCATTTTGAAAATGTCAAGCTTGTAACAATAGAAGAACCCTTTTCAAAAAGGTTTTATATAGAACCATCTACAGCACATTAATGGACATAAATTCTCCATCAATCTGAAGAAGCCCTTCCTGATGCAAAGAACCCTTTAATTATGCAAAGGGTTCTTTGAGTGTCCATGGTTCTTAATAGGACCATTTTCTTTACTGAAGAACCATTTCTTTAAGTGCATTAGCTCGACCTCAAAAGAATAGCAAAACCCTTTTTGGTGCTATGTAGGACACATTCATCAATCTAAAGAACCATTTAATCATGCAGATGGTTCTAGAACTCATGCTTTTAAATAGAAGCATTGCTTTTACTAAAGAATCCCTGAAGAACCATCTTTTTTAGGAGTCTACACTCTCTCAGTCATTCTTTTTTTAAACATTTTTGGCTTTTTCTTCTGTCTCTCTCTCCTCAGTCTGGTCCCTCTAATTTGCTCTTTAATTTTGTTCCTCGTTGAAAATCACACTGTTTTTCACACTGTGTCTCTCACTGTCCAGTACTGTTTGAGAAAATTCTCTCTGTATGTGACAGACAGAATTCAGTCTTACAGTCTCAGATGAGGAACGCTGAAGCCATTTGGTCCGTACAGGGAGAACCGAGAGAAAAGAAGCCCATCTGGACGTTTTTCTGCCCAGCCCTGAAATCTAATAGACAGCAGTATATTTCCCATCAGCTCCAGTAACTCTCAGTAATATACAGGTCTTTTAGCCTGAAATATAATCGTCCCTGCAGACAATTCCACATTTCACATCCCATTTCTACAACTGACTGCCTGCACTCTCTGCAAAATGAAGGTGCAAAAAAAGGGTTCTTTGGAGTGATGCAGCAGAACTGTGGTTCTCAGGGTGGGCTGCACCAACAAGGATTACATTATTAAACAGAGTTTAGAGCTAATCAAGGACTTGTTAATCTAGGTTTTATTTTAAATTTTAAGTTGCACCACACATGTAAAAGGATAGTTCTTCAAGGGTTCTTCAGTAAGCAAAATGGTTTTGTATAGAACATGAACCCTTTGCATGATTAAAGGGTGCTTTGTATCATGAAAGAGTTCGTCAGATTGATGGAGAATGTGCTTAAGTTCTAAATGGAACTTTTTTATAAAGGGTTCTATATGGCACCAAATAGATTCTTCTATTGTTACAAGCTTGGCATTGTAACAATAGAAGAATCCTTTTCAGTGCTATATAGAACCCTATACAATGTATTCTCCATCAATCTAAAAAACAATTTCACCATGCAAAGAACTATTTAATCATGCAAAGGGTTTTTTAAGTGTTAATTGTCATTACTGAAGAGCCCTCGAAGAACCATCTTTTTTAAGAGTGCAGTAAAGTTCTTTAGTGTAGAAAATGGTTCTACATAGAACCATGAAGACTCAAAGAACTCCTTGAGTGAATGATTACAGGGCTCTTTGCATCGTGACAGTGTACTTCAGATTGATGGAGTATATGCAGTATATGTTTCCGTAGAGAACCTTTTGAAAAAGGGTTCTATATAGCACCAAAAAGGTTTTTTTTATTGTTACGATGTCAAGCTTGTAATACTAGAAGATCCCTGTTTGATGCTACATAAAGCTCTTTTCAAAAAGGTTCTATATAGAACCATCTACATTACATTCTCCATCAATCTGAAGAATGCTTTCACTATGCAAAGAACCTTGTAATCATGCAAGGAGTTCTTTGAACATGGTGTTCATGGTTCTATGTAAACCATTTTCTTTACTAAAGAACCTTTGAAGAATCCCTTGTTTTAAGAGTGCACTTTTCCACTGCATGGTATAGCTCAACTTGACTCAACTCTCTTTTTGTACCAGCTACTTCATGTTCCTTTGCAGACATAGTGCCCCCTTATTGTAGCTAGATGTCATAGCGAAGCTGCAGGAAGCTGCCATGACATAGAGCCAAATTTTGACGGCAGTGAGACAAAAGACTGCTGGAAAAAACAGGAGCGTTTGGGAAAAACTATGTCATAGTTCAGCCGACGAGACAGGACGATGCAAGAGGCTACGCTAACCTGGTAGCTATCGCTAGCATGTGTGTTTAGGGTGATAATGACTATTCTCTTTGAACATTCAGCAGTCTGCTTTTCCTGCATTACCTTTTGGCATAGCTCGCTTGGAACCTCGACAGAGAGGATAGCAAATTTAGTACCAGGTACCAGATTGGCCTAATGGAGAACCAAAAAAGGCGAGAAGAGTTGAGTTGAGCCGCTACTGTGCCTTGGAAAAGCGCCTAAACAGCCTTTCAGTTGATGTTTATTTAAGAATATAAGTATATATATATTTATTTGAAAATGAGACGTGTAAAGTTAAAGAACCCTTTTAAAGTTTAAAGAACCTCCATCTAATGTAAACATTGTTTACCATTTAAAGTAAGGAACCATTTTACAGATATATGCATGATCAGCAATTTTATTTGAATTTCAGACCACAAAAAAATAGATGCTGGGTTAATTTTGTTTTTGTTTTTTTTTTCTTCAGCGCCGCGTCTCCTGTTTGTTGAAGAAAATTCAATCTCATTTACATATCTAATTGTTTTCATGACTTCAAAAAAACAATCTGATGTCAATTAAACATGCAAATGAGATTTGGGCTTCCTGTGTGACGCTTTTACCCTAATTGAGTTTCCTCTGATTCTCAGTCTTTAAACTCTTTCCTCTAAATATCTGGAGACGGCAGCAGTAGGAACATATCGGGATGAAGCTGCATCATCTAAAAACATCAGGGTTCAGCTCACCTAGACGACAGCAATGATGTTTTAATAACACACACACACAGACGCACACAGACACATACATACCTTGCCTGCTAATTCAACTCTCTGGTAAGAGCTCAGTTAGTGCACACTGAACAGCAACAGTTTGCATCAATGGTTTGTACAAAAGTAAATAAATAAATTAAAATATCCTAAAATAGATCATTAGAGGTTTGGCCCAACTATCGGCTTCAGTTGCAGTGGTTGGGGTGCTCATTAGCAGTTCAGTCCATGTAAATGTGACTGTGATAATTAGCCCTGTGTTCCACATAGAACCACTTTCTTTATTAAAGAACCTTTGAAGAACTGTCATTTTTAAGTGTGTTATAACTCTTTTCTCTGTTTGAGCGATCTTTTGTTTTTCCTTTCTCAGCGTTCTGTGAAGAAGGCTGTCGCAGTGGAGGAACATGCGTGTCCCCTAACACCTGTGTGTGTCCATCAGGCTTTACGGGACGCCTCTGTGAGACAGGTAAGCCGGTGAGAGAGAAATCAGCCTGGAGCCTGTTCACCTTCACCACACTCATTACATTCACCTGTTCTCACCTGTCTGTCTGCATTACACCTGCCTCATACCTGCCTGCAGCTCCTACCTGGATCTGTTTCTGCTCTTCTGCGAGGACACAAACCCGTTTCAGTTGTCTGTAGCACTGTCCACTGCATTCCTCGTCTGTGTCAGTTATTAACATTTATTATTACATGATGGTTCTGATGTCTGCAGTACTTATATTTACTGTTTGACATGTATGGTTATCGAGTAGCTTCCATGAACTGAAAAGCTCCAGGAAATCAGCATGATGTCAGGTGGGGTTGGGTAGGGAGATGAAGAAAGCAGGTGCAGACAGTGAAAAGTGGAAAGATGTGCCAAGAGAGAGAACGTAAAGGCTGGAGCAAAACAGAGAACATTAGGAATGAAGGAGAAGAGACAGAGTTGAAGTGAAAGTTACACAGTGTTGAGGAAAGACAAATATACACAGCTTTTTAACCCTCCTGTCATGGTCAACAGCAACAATATTCCTGGGTCACATTCACCTGATGCATGTTTTAATGATGTTTTTGATATGAATGTCTCTCGTGGAGTTGATGTCTGTGGGATAATTTATCATCCTGATTAGAATCGATCTCAAGATAATCTTCATTTTAAGATTCTTCCTCCTCTGCTTTACTATCCTGATTGAGGAGGAGTTTCAGAGCCTTCTGGGCTGTCGGGTATTTTTCTGCTCACATCATCTTTTCAGCCTCTGAGAGAGTACAGATGAGTCATGTTGGTAGGACTATATAGGACATTATGTGTGTAAAGTAAACATGCTGGGGGCTGCAAGCACGTTAACATAGACATTTTTTTCCATATACATATTCATTATACTTATTAAGCCCAGCAGAAAATGTTTTATACTACGAAAGTTATTTAAAATATTTTCCTGTATTTTTAAACTTTGAAAAAGGGTCAACATGACCCACAACATAACAGGAGGGTTAAAAATGTTTTTTAAGGAACAGGTCTGCAAAAAAGTAAATTTACATCAGTCGATAAGCCAAAACATGCTTGGTGTCCAAATTTTGCCTGTTTAGTTTAGAAACTGCAGCTGGTAGGCTAACAGTGCTTAAAAAAAAACAACAAAAAAACAAAACACTGGAAGTCAGTAGCCACCCAAACCGTTTCCACAAATGAATGGCAAAATCTTCATATATTTGCTTTGTTTTTTTATTATTTAAAAACTATTTTTATTTTTTTTTTTACTTTTGTTTTTCTTTTTATGTATTTATTTATTAAAAATGCCATGCATAGAAATTAGTATCAGATGTGTATATATTTGTGATCTGTGAAGGCTCCTCAATGCTTTTAATATTTTAATTATTTTAATTATTTTAATATTTTAATTATTAAATATTTTATTATGATTGGAATCTGATAAAGTTATTGTTGTGTGTACAGTCTTGTTTTGCAGAAAGAAAAACAAACATCTTTTTTTACTTTTTTTTTTTACACAACTGATACCTAATTAAAACCCTTACATTATGTGGAGGTTCTTTAACTCTAAGTTTTTTACAGGTTAATTCTGCATAACTGACTGTGAGATGTAAACAGAGTCATTCAGAGTGGTTTGGTGTGAAATGGTTCAGGTGTCTTTACAGTGGTGGTCATAGGAACCAGGGGTTGCCATGACTACAACACAGATATAGACATTTTATTTACTGTCCAAAACCACCAGTGAACCTACGTGTATCTTCTGAGTGTTATATGGAATGTTGATAACGGAAAGAATAAGAGTAAGTTTTCTTTGGGGACTATTTTGTCTCACAACACCCTGCATATTATGTATCCCTCCACCATGAATAGATTTTAAGGCCAAAATCTTCTCAAAACTATCATAAAACAGTGTTCCAGACATCAGGCAGTGAATTCATAACCATTTCATGTAATAACTTTCTGTGAGGGAGCTTTTAGAGGTGGTCGTCTGGTTCCTGTCACCACCACTGTGAGCAATTCTGACTTGGTTAATTTCTCTAGAACGAAGTATTTCACACCAAACCATTCTTAACGACACTGGTTACATCTTAACCTGTTAATTTTGCAGAAAACTTGTGGATGGAATTTGACTTCAAGTTAAAACAGTCATTTTTGATGGTTTGCAGAGAAGATTGAGTGATATAGTTTGGATAATTGAGATTTTTAGCAATGTATCTTCCAGCACTAGTTCCATTTGCTCTTGATTTTGGATCTAGACAGTTCACGGATCATTCACAATTTCTGACTGACCAGCAGTCTCACAGTGTAATCACAGAGCCAGCAGAAGATTAATGTGATTTTATAAGCGTTTCAGAGTTGAAATTGCCATCTTGCAGTCAGAATGGGATTATTAAACCAATACTAAGACTCTCCGTGACTGAAACTCCTCACTCTGAAAGGAAGAATAGAAGATGGACCTGAACTTCCTCATCTTTCAACCCGGAGGCGAGGATATGTTCATCTCACACCTACTGTAACCCTGCTAACTCCCTCACAGCCTACAACGCCTCCTTACATTCTGTTAAATTATTTTTGGCTCGTAGTTCATTGAAACCGTGGAGACACCGTGAGGAATGTGCAGATTGTAAAAATTCAATCCAGACCACATTAGTGTCTGTAACTGGAAAGGGAAATATTTTATTAATTATGGAATCTGATGACAAGTTATTGTTGTGTGTACAGTCTTGTTTTGCAGAAAGAAAAACAAACATCCTTTACATTTTCATCATATTTCTTTACATAAAAAAAACAGAAACTGGAAAGGCAAAGTTTGTGAACAAACATCAAGTTGACTTGACAAACCTAGCTAATAATATTTCAAAAGTTAAAGCTGGATTTAGAAAGCTGTTGATAGTTTTTGATCACTTAATTGGGTTTACATAGTTGCTATGCCATTGGTAAGGTATTCCAGGTGGGTGCGAATGTGTTGCTTGGCCGTTGCTATGGTATACCAAGTAGTTGCTAAGGTGTTGCTGTGCTGTTGCCATGGTATCCCATACCATATCCCTATGGTATATTGTCTGATCTGTGTTGCAATTCTATTAGGTAAATGTCTTTGAATGATGCTGCTGCTACACTAGCATTAGTGTCGCCCAGCAGGGACCACTTCAACACCAGTCATTAGACTTTGTGCTCTCAAATATGAGTCTTTATCCTATAAACAGGTGTTTTTAAACCATTGATTCACTAGAAACGAGCATGTACTGCGGTGGGACACACCGCACACACATAGATAGATGGATATGAAGAAAGAACTTTATTGATCCTGAAGGGAAATTGCAGTGTTACAATAGCAAGACATATAATTGCACATACATATATTAGGCAGAAAGAAAAAAAATTGACATAAGTTAAAGGATGAGAGGGTAGAAACAGAGATGTATCTATTTGCTGTTTTATTTGCTGGTGTTAGATTGAAGTTTTGATGTCTTTTGAGTGGTGAGTATAAAATCGTGCAGTGCTTTTGTGTATTTGGTGTCGGTGTGAGCGAACTGAACGTATTTGATTGTTTTTGGTTTTAGAATAACGCAGCAGGATGCAATGGGACAATATCGACAGATGCAGAACCAATTAGCGAATAGCTATGCTGTTATATCATCCCACCGAATGTTGGCTATGAGTATGGTTAGCTAACCATGCTGGTTTTTAAGCGTTCCGTATCGAACTGTGTCCTTGTGGAAAAACCACTGGAACAATTACACTACATGCTCAGAACCGTTTGGCCCTTCAGTGGAAAAGAGGCCAGTGTGAACTCTGCATTAAAAAAGCTTACAAATATTGCCCAAAAAATCAGCCATCAGCTGAAAATTGTATAAAGAAATCAGAATTAAAGTCGGTATCAGCCATAAAAACTCTTGATGACAGTAATAACTCCTTTATTACAGTTACCTATAATTATGTATTGTAATCCGAATGTCGAGCAGAAAGCCTATACTAACTCTAGGATTGGTGGATTCTTGATATGGTTAACAGGATGTCTCTTTGAGGGTCTTCATCTGTTCTCCTGCTTTCCAAACAGTCAGCAGAGCTGCTCAGTGAGCTGAAAGGTTTTATAAAGCTAACGCGGTGAATGGTTTGGTGAGGGGTCTTTGAGATGATTTTGCTGCAGGCAGAACTGTTCGCTGATAGTTACTTACAGAGTTTCAGTGAAAGGTTTTTACCTGACCCCAAAAAAGGGTTCATCTACAGAGTGGAGCTGAAGAAGAGCTTCAGGCCGGATTATAATGCAGGTTCTGCTGTAAAAGCTTCAAACAGGACATGCAGGATTCAGTAAATGCACTACTGTCCAACAGTTTGGATTCACTAATATGATTGATGGTGTATTTTATATACTATCATTACTTACGCAATGTGGATTTACATATAAGCTAAACACTACAAGATATTTTTCTGTGTTATATATTTGTTATGTATTTTGAGTTTTATTGGAACTTCAGTCTGGATATATGGAAAATTAGATATTAATTTTGTTTGAATTGCATTCTGGATATTAGTTTTTATTAGAACTTAATTTGTGATATACATTTTTATTAACACATCATTCTAGATATTAATTGTATTAGAACTTCATTCTGGATGTTAATTTTATTAGAATTTTATTCTGGATTTGACATTTATTAGAACTTTATTCTGAGGTTTAGTAACAGCTATATTCTCTACATTAATTTGACTTCATCGAATCTTCATTCTGGATACTACTTTGATCAGAAATTTATTCTGAATGTTTATTTATTGTAACTTAATTCAGGACTAACATCATATTACAATGATTGTTCACATTCCTCATCTAAATTGGTTTAATATTATTGAACATTGCTCCAATCTTTTGAACAGTAGTGTATGTTTACCAGAAAATCTATGTATTGTTTTGGTAATATTTTGTGTACAATTTGTCTCCGTTTGTAACAGATGCTTTAGTTCCTACAGACATCACTTTTGTAGTCACATCAGCCCACCTACCG